GGTCCCCCCCCCCCCCCCCAGTGGCCTCACTCACACACTGCTGCTCCAATCTGGTTTCGATATATAAGCGGCGACAAAACCTTGAACACCACGCAATCAGCAGCAGCAGCGGGCGCCCAAGATCTAGTATGTCTCACTGCTATGTCGAGACTGTCTCCAGCGCTTCAAAGTTTCCCCGCCAGCGCAAACGTCCAAATGCGCTTTCTCGGCGGCTCTCGCTCCACGAGACCACCGAAACAAAACAATAGAAAAAATCATACAACAACAAAGACACGGAAGCAACTCTGGAAGCCTGCAAAGGAGGCCAAACCGAGGTGATTGCCGTAAAACTCCAACATCCAGCGCCATGAAGTTTTCCAGCCACGTACGCGTACAGATCACGACGATCCAAGATACGACCAAAACATACATGAGTGGGGCGGGCAGAACCCTTGAAACCAAGAAAAATCCCTGCCTCCGGCTCCAACAACCGCTCCGCGTCAGCACAGCTTGCACGGAATCGCAGATACCAAGCGCCGAGCTTGTTTTTTTTACGCCCCTCTACAACGTGAAGACGGAGGACACGTGCCGCGTAGAAAAACGTCATCCTAGAAATACACAAAAGGAGAGCGACATAAAAAAAGAATGAACAATGTACATGGACAAACAACAGGAATCACAACACTCCAAACGGATGCGGCTGACAGCGCGCCCGCCGCCGGCCGCATCCGCGCCACTACTTAAGGGCAAGCCGGTCCACACGCGTCATCGTCTATGCTGCAAACGACGTACCCCGCGAGAGGCTCTCTGCTCTCCGACCCACAAGCCAGTCGTTCGGGGTATGCCTTGCAACGGGGCTGTACCGGTCAGCTGGTCTCATGCGTGTCGCGCACAACACACAAAAAAAAGCACTCTCAAGTGCCAATACAACACGACGACCCCTGGCAGCGGCAGAACCTACGCTCGTCGAACGCCCTTGAAACAACACCAAAAGCAAAAGCACAGACCGAATTTGCGGTGGTCCAGCGTGCAGGTCCTTCAACCCACCTGCCTGCTACAAATGGAGTCTTTCGTCATCTTTCGAAATGTGTTCGTAGGGCTTAGAAGCGAGACGCGGGCGGTGGAAGAAAACGAAACACGCGATCCCACCAAGCTGATCGAAACGCATCGTCTTTCTCCATGGCAAACAAGGGCACCACAACCATCGTAGGCGCTGTGTACGCCGTCAACCCCATCGTCGCTAATTCACGTGCCGACATGGCACAGCTAGTGATAGCCCTCTCAGGCAGAGGCCGGGGGGGGGGGAAGTGAATCTTGCTGCCGCCATCACCGTCGACCGTGCAAGCCAAAGCAGCACATGCGACAGAGACGACTCGGTGGACAGAATCTCGCCCACACGTGGCTTACGTACGTGAGGCCTCCCCACCCCCAGACCAGCAGCAGCAGAGCCAAAGCTCACGCGTTTACTAGCCCCGCCGCGCTCAGTACCCGTGCCGCCCTTCCACGGCGCTCACGGAAAACGGCCGGCGGCACTGGGACTCATCGGAGGGCAGCATGTCCCACACCGCGTCCTCCGACGCAGAGCGCGGCCGCCCCCCCGCCGCGGCGGACCCTCCGCCCCCCTCCTCGCGCTGAGAAACCCCGAAGCCATACCCGCCGATCCCGGTGTCCTCGCTCCGGCTGCCGCCGCTGCGCATGTCCCTCCCGGCCGAGGCCGATCGGTTCCGACCGCCGCGTTCTCCGCCCTGGCCATCGTCGTCATACACGTTCGTGGGGTGATGAAACGGAGCGGCGCCGGCGGGGTTCGAGTAAGGGTGGGCCGCATGCTGCATCCTTGCGGCGATCGCCTTCGCATTCGCGTACGCCGCCGGAGTCACCCCGGCCGGCAGGTGCGACGAGAAGTCCTCGCCCCAGTCAAGGCCGTAGCCGCGGCCGCCGCCGCCGCCGCCGGCGGTGTAGGATCCAAGCCCGCCCTGGGACGCAAACGGGCCCGCCGCCGCCGACATCGCCGCCGCCGCCGCCGCCATGGTGGGCGGGGACGGCACGGTCGGGACCCCGCCGAAAGAAGGCGCCGCGGACGGAGACGACGGCGAGGGGGACTCCGTAGACACGCACGACGGGGTGTGGTGCCCATGCCCCGCCCCGCCCCCACCCCCGCACGACGACGACCACGCCGCGAAGTCGGTGCTGCTGGTCGGCGTGTTGCTCCACGTCGTGCCGCTGCCGCCGCCACAGCGAGCGGGGCAGAGGGGGACGGGCAGGGAAGCGCCGGGGGGGAGCTGGTGCGCGAAGCCTCCGTGGCCGTGAACGGCGGCGAAGGCGGCGGCGACGAGAGTGGGGTCCCCGTAGACGGCCTCGTCGTCGAGGTCATTCCCCAGCTCCAAAAACGGGTGCCGCAGGAGTTGCTCCGCCGATGGCCTCTGAGTGTACGGAAACGAACATCGGCGAAAACAAAAAAACAGCACGAGAGAGAACAAACAAATGGGATCAATCGCCGTGTGCCAGGTGCAAGATTA